AGGAGGAGGAGGAAGGCAGGGCGGTTTGCAATACTTATTAGATACATATATGCATATGTACATATACATAATATATATATATATATATACAGACACTTGGAGCAGGAAGGGAGGAGGAAGAAGAAGAAGAAGAGGGGGCTAAAAGCAAAAGCTCAAGTCATCATGTATCATTTCATTTACTCATGACGGCATCTCGTGCCAGTGTCCGTCTGATATTCATTATGTACTGTCCTGTAGGTACCTCGGTAAGTAAAGTCAACCATCCCCGACGCCGCCGGCGTGCTTCCTCGTCCGGAAGAACCGAACCAGACCAGACCAGACCAGACCAGAGAGGCAACAGCTGAACTCCCATCCATCCTTCCTTCCTTCCTGTATTGATTTCGTGGCCCATCCACCAAACAGCAACCGCAACCGCAACAGCAACAGCAACAGCATTTAGCCCCTACCGCCTAGGCGCCTTACCAGAAAGCAAACAGACAGATACACACCTGGCTCACCTCGGCTAAAAACCCACCCAGCAACCCATCTCAAGCTACTCTCCTTCTCTTAGATGCACAACACCAAAGCACAGCCCTTCAAAACAGGAACAAAGCAGCCGCCCTCATTCTCTCACCTCGCCTCGCCTGGCCTTCCCATACTCTCCCGAATCTTATTTCGTTCGATTAACGCCAACAGATCCGCCTTCTCGCGATGCGCTTCCTCCAGCCGTGCCCGCGCATTACTCCTGTCGAGGATCCGCGCCTCTCTCTCCGTCTTGAGCTTATACTCCAGCTCCTGCAATCGGATCTGCCACTTCAGATCCAGCGTGTACCCGCCCCCACTAGTCGTATCGTCCTTGCTGCCGGCGCTCGCCTCCACTACACTCCCCGCTCTCGAGGTTGCACTCCCCGCTCTAGACGTTACACTCCCCGCTCTCGAGGCGGCACGTCCCAGTGTCTCTATTGTAGATGTGGTATAATTTCGGGTGAGCGTCGAGGTGCGCGATGACTTTTCCAGGGCGCGATTACGTGGCCCTGTAGGTACAGAAGGCGAAGGACTAGCGTTGTCAACGAGATTGGTCTGATCTTCACGCGAAGATTTCAGCGAGGCTAATTCCTGCCTCAGGGAATCATTCGTAGCTGTCAGCTTGTCAAGCTCAGATTTACTGCCCCTCTTTTCGCCCGGAATACCGCTTCGTGCGAGAGTTTCGAGGCGATCGAGACGTTTAGTGCGGAGCTCGAGGTTGTTTTCCAGGGTTTGGTATTCCTTCCATAAATCTTTCTCCACGGCACGTATCCGGGTACGGAAGTCCCCAACGAGGGTCTCGATGTTCTTCACTGCGCCCATGAGGTTTTTGGAGAAGCCCGGGAGCATAGTGGTGACTGCCTCGAGAGAAGGCAATGCCCTGCCATTGATGAGACTGTTGTTGTGAGCCCAGTCTGATCCACAAAGGGTAGATAGACGGTTCCATAGCGCAAGCAGAAGTTGGTTGCGCTCAAGCATTTGATCCCTGAAGTTATTCTCCAGGGTGGCAATCTTCCTACGATCCTGTTGACGACAAGTTTCAAGTTCCAAGACGCGGGATTCGTTCTGTGTAAGCGTGCGAGTAGTATGTTGGTGAGTCTTCTGGAATGTCTCAAACTGGTGCTTGGTGTTGCGATGGGACTGTCGCTCTTTGTCGACCATATCCGCCAACTTCTTGGACTCGAGAGCACTTAGCTCCATGAGACCATCACGCTGTCTGATTATGTGTTCTTTCTCGGCGAGAGAGGCTCTTGCGATATCAAGATCACGATGAGCATTTTCGAGCCCCGTCTTCAGCTTTTCGATATTCTAGGTGGATATTAGCATGTTACTGGTGGGCGCTTTTCATGACATACCACGACGAAGGACGCCCTGGTCCCCTCGAGACCACCCAAGGCGGCTTTTAGATTGCTCTCAAGCTCTGTGAGTTTCGATTTCCATTCCGCAAGTTCAACCTCACGTGATTGAAGAGACTTTCGCAGCTTTCTTGCCTCGTCTTTGGCGGCCGACGAATCGCGGTTGAGCTCGTTGATGTATTGCTGTACCTCTTGTTTTTCCCTGCCGGCGATGACTTCACGTTGATACCTCTCGGCGCTGAGGCGCTCTTCTAGTTCCTTGATGCGTTCTCGCTCGTCGTGCAAAATATCTTCGGTATTCTTGAGAGCCGTCTCGAGATCACCAATCTTGATCTTGTCCCCATCTTGCTCTTCTCGGAGGAAGGCAATCTCTCCCTGGCTGGACTCCTGCTGCACGGTAAGGCGATCAATCTTGCCATTAGACTCGACAAGATCATTCTCCATCTGCTCCATCTCTCGGTTGCCCTCATCAATTTCTCCCTCAAGCTCCGAAATGCGTTTTGTCTTGGCTTCATGGGCATCTTCTAGTCTCACCAGAGCCTCGCTCATGTCTCGCATCTCGCTCTGAAGAGCATTGAAGTTCTCTGTCGTATCACCAAGTTCGGTCTGTAGGCGCGCAATTTCAGAATTTGCTGCCTCAATCTCGGCATCAGAGTGAGCAAGCTCTTCCTGGGCTTCCTCGCGCAGATTCCGAAACTGTATTTCCGCATCTTCTTGTCCCCGCAGAGCTTCATCTCGATCTCTTTGCATTGTCACTAGGTCAACCTCAGCTGCCTCCAGAGCCTCTTGCAATTCTTGGGCAAGAGCTTCGGCCTCTTTCTTGCGTTCGACAGCAGTCTCGAAGTCTTCCATACACGACTCCAGCTCGCGTTGAAGATCCTGGTTCTGAATCTTGAGGCTGTTAATCCGGTCGCGGAGCTCGGCATTCTTGTTTTCAAAGTCTTCGCGTTCAATTTCATCCACAGTCGTAATCTTTGTTCGGGCGCTGGTGCGCGACAACGAACGCTCATGTGCTCTCGACGCCGATCTCTCCAGAATACTATCTCCAGCAATTGATCCAGCACCATTTCTCCGTTGGCCGAGTTTTAGGTCTTCGATTTCTTGGTATAGACGTTCCTTTTCGCGATTTCGAGATGTCAGCATAGACGTTTGAGCACCAACCTCCCGTCGAAGTTCGGCATTCTCATGTCTGAGTTGGTCGCAGTCCCTTCTCAAGTCCTCTACCAAAGTGGACCCATTGCTCATGTTGCCGTTTCGATCATCGAAACTTCCCGACATGCCGGATATGGGCCTTAAAGGCGAGACATTGCGTTTCTTGGTGATATTGTAGATATTTGTGGTGTGGCTGAGCCCAGGCACGCCAGTAGTCGACGTAGTCTCGGTCTTCATTCGAAAAATCTCCTCGCGGAGCTTCTTATTCTCTTCGTCGGCCTGTTCCCTGCGAGAAGTCTCTTGCTCAAGCAGGTCTTTCCAAACGTCCATTTCCTCTCTAGCTCCAACATTTTGACCACGGCGCTCGCCCATCTGACGAACAGCCTCAGCAAGGTTGCGCTTGTCGTTTTCTCGAATCACCGCGTCGTTTCGCATCTTCTCAATTTCGGTAACGTACTCTTCGACTCGCTCGCGCAAGTAGATAAGCTCCTCCTCCCGTTCTTGAGCACCTTCTTGATCAAACCATACCGGGCTCCGGCCACCACCTGAAGTTCCAGCAGTGGAGGGTCGTTCTTCGCCGTCTTTTTGCAGCTGTTCGAGTTCTCTGACCTTTCGCTTGAGGGCCTTGTTGTCTCGTTGCATCACTGCCAAGCCAGTTTTGAGCTCTACATTTTCCGAGATCATCTCCTTGACACCTTCCTCGGAAAGCTTGTCCAAACGGTCGCTCAGGAACATAACTTTCAGTTTCAAGTCAAAATTTTCTTTAGAAAGTCGCTCGATCGTGCTGCTCTGTTCCTTTAGCGTTAGATTTTTTCCATTTCGACCCAGCGTAGAGCCTGGGAAGCTCGATCGTTTGGGAGACACTCCATTCTTGTTTCGGTATTCTTGAGCGACGGAAGCTGGGACTTGAACATTTCGAACATGCCTGGCAATAACCGTATCCGTAGGTGCAGCGAGAGACGATTTGGTTGCAGGCGCACGAGGAGTCGCAGGAGGCGAATCGTCAAGTTTTCGCTCTCGGTTTTGTTCCTCTTCCGTCAACGTCGCCAGAATAACATCCGGCCCACTTCCGGAAAGGTCCTCGATCCCAGATGCCATGCTTCCCAAACTTATTGATCTCGAAAGACCCATGCTGACGCTCCGGGAAAATGCGGGGACAGCTCCTCCAGATTGTAGTGCGTAATCAGCTCCAAGTGTCGTGCCACTCCCGTCCTGCGACTCCGCAGTTGTCCCAAGCGAAGAAACACTGGAGTTTTGACTGGCATGGCGACTTCGAAGAAATTTTGGTCTTCTGCCAGAAGATTTGCGACGAAGTAGGGGAATTCCGGGCGTACTCCCAGCATTTCCCATATCGCTAAATGAGCTACTGAGGTTGCGGCTTGAAACGCCTTCGTGGAGAGTAGAACGATCGTCGGAGGAATCGGTTAACCGAATGGTTTTTTGCTTCCTTGGGGTCGATTCATTCTCGCCCTCGTTTGCCGTTTCCTGCTGTAAGTCCCCAGTGTCGTAAGACGCATCGTATCTTCCGGCACTTGCCATCGATATCGCCCGTGATACAGTTCGTGCTGCCGCGGCTGCTGTCGGAGAGGATGACATTGTCTCCAAGGAAGAATTGGTGTCTGCCGCATCCATTGACTCATGGTTGGAAAGATCCTGGCGCGCAGCTTCAGGTGTAGTATGTGCGTTCGCAGAATTCGGTGGAGAAAGGGGTGTATCCGGCGCATGCATCTCGGTTTGGGGCTCACTCGTTGTGGCAGAGCCTTCTAATAGCTTTGGTAGACCTGAGGGTGGAGAAGCTTGCACACTGTCGAATAGAAATGTATCGTCTGTGCCCTTCTTTCCATCCATACTGATCGGAGATGGAATAGGCATAAAGCTGGATTCCACATCGTTCAGATGTCTCTGCATTGCCCCCTCGTCCACCGTATCCAGCAGCGCATCACTCCCATGCTGCCCATGCTCACTCTGGCTGTACAGCAAACTACTTTCGACCGGTGGGGGTAACGAAGGGAGGGTCGCTGGATCGAGAGAAGGTATCCGGTTATTCAGCTCGTAAGCGTTCGCGTTATTCGCCCTCGCATTCTCCGAAATTGAATCGGAAAATTCCTCCTTGTTGGGAGACAAGTCATCCAGGTCGTCGACTCCAAAGCCGCCCGGGACTTTACGCGCGTCCTTTCGGGCCGTCTGCGGACGTTCCTCTGAAGCCGGCGAGGCTATCTCAGGCTGGTGCTCGGCCTCCACCATGTTATGTATCTTTGTCGAGTCGCATTCGCTCTCTACAGACTCGAGAGACGAAAGTGTCGACTTCAAACCTGCGGACGGGCGAGTATATGAGTGAGACCAGACGCGCTCGGTCGTCAGGTCGGATGGAGTCGTCTTGCGGGGTGGGACGACTGATGTTCGGGAAGAAGGAATATCCTCAGTGACTGCCCTGCTTAATTGCTTGCTTGCGTGGGTATCGAGGAGCGGGCGCTGTGGTAAGTCAAAATAATCTGCGTTGATTGTAACGGTGGATATATTTGTTGATCTGTTGAGGACGTTGTAGAGGAAGACCTTGGTTCTCGTTGTGGTTGTGGTTGTGGTAGTCGTTATTGTTGTCGTCTCTGTTTTGATTTAGCGGGAGTTGCTGGCCTTGGGAATTTACAGCTACGTACCCTACCCATGCCTCCCGCTTTGGCACTAAATTACAGACTAGCCTAGTCTTGGCATCTTGACGAAGAGGTCTGAAAACCCGACGTTCACATCAAGTCACGTGGTATAATACGATATATATTACTTCGTACAGATCTACAACCCATCGCTTCATCACTTCCTCAGATACACCACTTACACTCCACGACGTAAGTAAGCCGTTCGATCTTCCAACGCCCGCCTATTTATCATCTACAGCTATCTTCAGCGTCGGCTTCCAGACAGCAGCATCCCCCCACCGGTCAACCGTCAACCCAGCACTCCCCGGATTTTCAAACCCTGCCTCAAGCTGTCTCTCATAACTCACATTTCGCAACCTTTCACTCTCCGCCGGCGTCAAAGCCAGATACAATTCCACGCCGACGGCGTGCAAAAACAAGCCCAGCCACATGGACATCCCAAACGTCATGGACAACGCCACACCCGTCTGCTCAGGCAGCCCGCCATACGTATCATGCGCATTAATAGCAACCTGCATTCCCTCGCTCGCATTCACGCAGCCTGGGTACAGCTTCTCTGTCGCCAGTGGCGGAATGCCTTGGGAGCTGTGGATGAAGGCAATCTCGCCGCACGAACGCGCAGAATAGTAGTCTCCCATTCGGCTGATGATCCGGACGGACATGAGCATCAGAAGTCGACCAGTGATGATGACACCAAAGTAAAACCACGTCCTCAGCATCCATGCACGGTGTTGGTCGATTTGCAGACGCTTGATATTGTAGTACGCCATTCCCAGCCCAAAAGTAGTCATGATCACAAGAAGTCCAACAACAGCTTGGACTTCCAATCCGCCGCCCATGGTACGGCGCGCTATCATCAACGCGCCAGCGTTGGATAGAAGCACGAGGAGGATAATGATATATCCGTTAATGCGGTGCAGGATCAGCGCTTTGTATCGAATGGCGGGCACGAATTGGAAGACGGCGAGGAAGCCCGCGGGGAGGATGCACACGAGGTGCAGGGTGATGCCAATCCGCATGTGCCCGACATGGTAGCTGTACCATTCTCCCGGTGAGCCCTTGTTTTTGAAACTGCTGGAACTGTTGCCGCCGACATTGAGGTAGGAGAAGCGGGCGAGTGTGAAGCCGAGCATGGCGCCGCCGAAAATGATGACTATTTTTCGAGTCAGCTCCATCTGTTGGCTAAAGTCAAATCTGAGTGGACGTACAGAGAGGAAAGTTGTATCCTTTTTTGAAACCCAGTGGCTTATACACTTTCCTCATTGTGGTCACGAACTTGGTGGAATTGGGTCCTCCTTGGCGGACTGTTCGCTCGCTTTCCGAGGCATTGGGTCCGGAAGCCATGTTTGAGTTAGCAGACATTCTATCGACAGTCTTCTATTCTCTTTGCGTCTGTCTAACGATATTATCCATTCTATCCAGCCTTCAAAACGTAGCAGGTGAGGAATCCGCGAGGTAGATATGCAAGTGCCGAATAAGAAATCGCCGGCTTGTCAATTCGTTACGCAGCTCTCAGCCCTGGATACGAAACGTTGCTGCCGTGCAACACCGGGGCGTAGTTCCCCCATTCCATTTACATCTCCACCCATCCTTTACGCACGAAGGGATACACAGGTACGTATCAACCTCCCTCCGGCACTCCATGACGAAGATCAACCCGTCAATGATCAACGATGTTGCTCCACGCCAAGACGTGTTTCTCAATTGCAAACGCTATTTCTTCGTGCGTATGTCATAAGCTGACTTTCGTACGCACGCTGCGTGGTGAGTAGACCGCAGCTTTCCCGTATCCCGTGACCCAGATTGACAACTGGGCGAGGCTGGATAGCCTGCTTCGCACAAGTGAGGCGGGTGACCCAGATCTGCAAAAACACGATAAGCGAGCCAGGGCTCAGAATTTTCCTCATCGGGATGGTAAATGTTGACTTTTGATCTCGAGGACTGGGATAGGGGCTACGCACGCAGGTGCGGCTGCGGTGTGGTGATCTGGTCACTGGCTTCGGTCACTGGCTTCACGGCCGTAGGGTGAGGTCGTCGTCGTCTCGTCGTCGTCTTACCAACACCGTAAGCAATCTTTCGTTTACTGTCATGCTCACTGTGCCAAGTCCTCGGGTTCAGGGACATCCTCCATGTTCGTCGTGGCACGGATCTGCCCCCGAAGATCTTCACCCAGGTAGCTATCCTTACCCTACTTATCATCAGGAATATTATTCGGATGGGCAGGGAGAGTGCACTGTGCCCGATTTCCCCAATGGATTCTCGCGAATATCTGTCAGGTTATGAAGAGTATAGTATTCATTTCTCTTACCTCCTCGCCAAGATGGCCTTGCGTTATTCATGTAACCATCTACCTCTCACAATTGAATGCGTACCCCTTGGACAGTACTCTCGCAGAAGAGATTCTAGCCCCGAGGTCTGAGTACCCTACCTACCTCCCTTTCCTGATAAGTGACCAGTCTTCATTCAGCTGTCGTCTTCCACTGCTACAAGCAGACAGCTGCGTAGCGTCAGCCGAGATACAATTATTCACTCATACTTCGACGACATATCTCGATTCTCTCTTTCTATCATTTTACAAAAGACATACTCATGCTACACCCTTTTCAGCTACGTACATATAAGTGAGATAGGGTTCCTTCCCAGATATACCTACGCGGACCATTCATTCATTCATTCATTCATTGCACATCGCCATCCCTAACTAGCGAGTCCGGCTGGCAGGTGCGGAGTACGGAAGATTATCGCGCAAATCGGGCGGGCGTCGGGGAGTTTCTGTTCTAAAGAAAAAAGAAAGGTTGGGGTGCGTCTGGATGTAGAGTAGCTGCTTGAAGGAGAGCTTGAGCTTGAGCTTGAGCAGGGCGTTGAAGTCGGGGACGCTTCAAGGCCGTTGCGCAGTTCGGAGGGACATGTGCGGCGTGCGTGCAGGCTCTCCTTCCAGGCTGGATCATTTGAGAGTGAAAATTTCTGGACTTTGAGCGCATTTGGCCAACTTGGAGACGGACGCATTCGGTGCAGCAGAACGTGGCCCCAGGCGGCCCAGTTTTTTATTATTTTTTCATTATTGCTTTTGTACAATTTTTATTAGTTTT